CACTCTTTCAGATAGAGATGGACTTTCTAAGAGAAAAATATGCACAAGCAGAGCTTGGGGAGTATAGGCATAATGAGTCCCCTCTGGACGTTAAAAAAAGTCACATCCGGGCTTCCCAGGTGGCGCAGTGGTTGACAGTCCGCCTGCCGATGCAGGGAACATGGGTTCATGCCCCGGTCCAGGAAGATCCCACATGCCGCGGAGCGGCTGGGCCCGTGAGCCACGGCCGCTGAGCCTGCGCGTCCGGAGCCTGTGCTCCGCAACGGGAGAGGCCACAACAGTGAGAGGCCAGCGTACCGCAAAAAAAAACAAAAGTCACATCCACTTTGAAAAATGCAATTCTGAAGTGATAATGATAATAATACAGCAGAGAAAGTGCTCACTCTCTGCAGGCATTCTTCTTCATACTTTACAAATGTTCATTATTTGTCACAACATCCCCACAAAATAGGCTCTTTTCTTACTTTAAGTTTACAATGAAAACAGAGGTCCAGAGTGATCCTCCTTCCCAGACTCACACAGCTGCTAAGTGGTGGAGCTGGGGTTGAAATAAAGTCCAGCAGTTGGCTCCAGAATCTGTAGTCTTAACCACTACATGATATGGCATCCCTTCAAGGCAAACTGTGAACTCTCTACAAAGCACAGCAAAGCCTCCCAGTCATTGTCACCCATGGAAACAACACGGATAAAAAGACAATCATTGGACTTCCCTGGTGGCGCCGTGATTGAGAGTCCGCCTGCCGATGCAGGGGACACGGGTTCATGCCCCGGTCCGCGAAGATCCCACATGTCGCGGAGTGGCTGGGCCCGTGAGACATGGCCGCTGAGCCTGCGCGTCCGGAGCCTGTGCTCCGCAATGGGGGAGGCCACAACAGTGAGAGGCCCGCATAAAAAAAAAAAAGACAATCATTAACCAGGTGGCACAGTCGGACAGAGCTTAGAGATGGGATCTACAGAGTCAGGAAGATAAGATGCACCAAGATTCGCTGGAAGGGACAAAAGTCAGAGTATCTTAGTTTTGCTTTTAGCTCCAACAATTTCCCCCTGGGCCATTTTATCTCCTGTAAAAATGATGAAAATATTCTTCTATCTTCCTCACAGTTTTAAAGATTACAAAAAATGTTGAAAAGCTATTTGTTGGAAATAAAAACAAAAATAAACAAATGGGACCTAATGAAACTTAAAAGCTTTTACACAGCAAAGGAAACCATAAACAAGACCAAAAGACAACCCTCAGAATGGGAGAAAATATTTGCAAATGAAGCAACTGACAAAGGATTAATCTCCAAAATTTACAAGCAGCTCATGCAGCTCAATATCCAAAAAACAAACAACCCAATCCAAAAATGGGCAGAAAACCTAAATAGACATTTCTCCAAAGAAGATATACAGATTGCCAACAAACACATGAAAGAATGCTCAACATCATTAATCATTAGAGAAATGCAAATCAAAACTACAATGCGATATCATCTCACACCGGTCAGAATGGCCATCATCAAAAAATCTACAAACAATAAATGCTGGAGAGGGTGTGGAGAAAAGGGAACCCTCTTGCCCTGTTGGTGGGAATGTAAATTGATACAGCCATTATGGAGAACACAATGGAGGTTGGTTTAAAAACTAAAAATAGAACTACCATACGACCCAGCAATCCCACTGCTGGGCATATACCCTGAGAAAACCATAATTCAAAAAGAGTCATGTACCAAAATGTTCATTGCAGCTCTATTTACAATAGCCAGGACACGAAAGCAACCTAAGTGTCCATCAACAGATGAATGGTTAAAGAAGATGTGGCACAAATATACAATGGAATATTACTCAGCCATAAAAAGAAACGAAATTGAGTTATTTGTAGTAAGGTGGATGGACCTAGAGTGTGTCATACAGAGTGAAGTAAGTCAGAAAGAGAAAAACAAATACCGTATGCTAACACATATATATGGAATCTAAAAAAAAAATTAAAATGGTCATGAAGAACCTAGGGGCAAGACAGGAATAAAGACACAGACCTACTAGAGAATGGACTTGAGGATACAGGGAGGGGGAAGGGTAAGCTGGGACAAAGTGAGGGAGTGGCGTGGACTTATATACACTACCAAACGTAAAATAGCTAGCTAGTGGGAAGCAGCCACATAGCACAGGGAGATCAGCTCAGTGCTTTGTGACCAGCTAGAGGGGTGGGATAGGGAGGGTGGGAGGGAGGGAGACGCAGGAGGGAAGAGGTATGGGGACATATGTATATGTATAACTGATTCACTTTGTTATAAAGCAGAAACTAAGACACCACTGTAAAGCAATTATACTCCAATAAAGATGTTTTAAAAAAAAGAAAGAAAAGCTATTTGTGATTTAAATAATCACAAGTAAACTATGCTATAAGGTGATATGAAAAGCAATTAACGTACTCTATTACTAAAATAAGTATCTTGATAGTGTGCATATTTTAATATAAATTTTACTAACTTGTTTAAATGCATCTACAAGAGTCTGTTTTTACAGAGATATGTATATTGCTACTGCTTTTACAAGCGCAAAGATTCCTTTTAAAAAACTGTATTAATAAACAGATTATACCCACACTCATTTTCAGAGTATTACTTTTAAGTGTTCCCTTTTCTTTTAGTGTTAAAATTTTCATCAGGCATTTTTAAAGCATAGAAAAAGCAAAATTGGCATCTTCCCTAATTGCAAGAGAGGAGTAAAACATGCAAAAATATCAGGCTTGATACTACTAATGAATAATGCTCTCACGTCACTTTTCCTGCAGCAGGTTATAAAACATATCTAATTAATCAGCCAGAATATCATCTCATCGGTTCTGAGAGGTGGCATCCAGGCCTAAACGTCAGACTGTGTCAGTTCTGGTAAATAGAAGTCAGTCTCTCTAGAAAACAAAGGCCAATTGGAGAAGACAGTTGGTGCCAGTGCACAAAAACAAAGGACATCATCTCCTGATAACCAGGAGACAACACGCCCTGGCTGCACGATACAGGCAGAAAAAAACTGGAAAAGAAATTAAGCTATTAACTAACAGAAGAAGAAAAAATGAAAGACTCAATTATGAAGAGTTTCCATTGAAACACTGATGTAAAAATGTTGTTTTCAATATTTTTTTTAAGAAGGAGGCATAGAGGTCATCTTTCGGTTCTGTGGTTAAACT